CTAACAGTTTGAGACAATCTGATTTGCCTTCGGAGTTTTGAAGATGGTGGGAATGGTCAGGCTTTCAAGTTTATTTCCTCAGTCAGGAAGAATAGAAGCTTATTTCTGTATAAAATCAAAAGGGAGACATCCTGTCTCCAGGAGCTGGGGCTTCTAAAAAAATATGAAGTGCTAGGAGACTTGCACTAAAAGCAAGAGAGATGGGGACCATAAAACCTTCACTAGCAGGATGATATCTATATAGACCTTTTGCTCTTCTTGCAGCAGCCCTGAATATTGGAAGAAAGGTGAATTTGTGTTCTAGGTGCAGATGGGGAGTGTTGCAGTGTGTTAAATAATGCAAATAGAGCATGGACTTGGATCTTTGGCACAGTCTCGTGTTATTGTTTCTTTGCAGACTATTTTGACAGCCTTTGAAATGGTAGAAATGCTGTGGTTTCGTATCAGTCTGCCTTCTCACATGTTAATGTGCAGTCCTGTAGAGCTGGGCTTCTGACTGGTCAGTGCTCGGCTCCGATCTGATTTTCAAGGGAGTTCTGGCCCTTCTGGATGCCCTGGGAAGGGCTGAGGTTGTGGCTGAAACATTCACAGTGGCAAGGAGCCCTCTCTCACAGTCTAGTAGCCATCTCCGCACATCAGGAAGCAATGATGTCCCAGCTAGCAGGAGACGGCTGATAAATTTCCACCACTGCATCACCTTTGTCTTCTCCAGATGCCCTCTTCAGACATAAACAGCTGTATTATCTAAGTCCAGAAATCCTGCCAGCATAGTAGTCTGTTTCCAAAAATGGCCAGGAGCAGACGTGCAGGAGAAAGTTGGAAGATTAGGTAAGCAAACAGCGATGCTTCCCCAGAATATTTTCCAGCTGTTTATTAAATTGTGTTTGAAGGTCTTCCTCACCCAGAGGGAAATCTTTTATCTTTAGTAGCCACGGATGGATTTTATTTCATGAATATATCCCATAATTTTATAAACCTATGCAACCACCCCCAGTGTCCCATGGCAAGGAGCTGCAGAGGTCACCTGGTCACTGAACCATACAGAGCTGGGTGCTGCTCTGGGTAACAGGAGCTGATTCCCTCCTTGCTTATTGGATTTCTACATCCATTTGAGTTAACATCTGTCCTGCAGCCAGAGGTTTCACTGCAGATGTATGGGCACAAGCAGATGTGTTTGTATGAATACAGGCACCAGTAGATGTAATTATGGCTGCAGGGACTTGATATAGCCCTCCACTACAAGAAGGGCATTGAAGTGCTGGAGCATGTTCAGAGGAGAGCCACCAAGCTGGTGAGGGGTCTGGAGAACAAGTCCTACGAGGAGAGGCTGACGGAACTAGGCATGTTAAGGTTGGAGAAGAGGAGGCTGAGGGGAGACCTCCTTGCCCTCTCCAACTCCCTGAAAGGAGGGTGTAGAGAGGTGGGGGTTGGCCTCTTCTCCCAAGGGAATAATGCCAGGAGCAGAGGAAATGGTCTGAAGTTGGGGCAGGGGAGGTTTAGATTAGATATTGGGAAGAATGACTTTCCTGAACAGAAGATAGCAAGAAGATCTCAAGCTTAGCAACAGTGATTTCTTTTATCTGTGGTTTGGGTGCACATTCTGAAACACGGCATGGTGCAGAGTTTCAAAGTGAACGACCACTTCTTGCAACTTCTCGGCTTCTATTCACTATGTATTACCTTAAATTTGGGTAGAAAACAAGTATTTCACTTACATTTCAGTGGAAAAAATTGCAGTAGTCCCTAGTCTTGAATTCTGTCTTTTTAACTGCACTCTGCAGCTGCTGAAAGCAGCACTCGATTCTGTCTGTGTCCACCTCAGAGAGCAAATGAATTAAGCAATTTCGTGCATTTCAGAAATGGTCTGTTTTCTATAAATTATGTAACAGTGCTGAGTATGTCTGTAAACCAGGTTTGGAGCTGTGGGTACAGACAAGGACAATTAACTGCAAAGGGTAATTTCAAAACAGTACATTAAATAAATGATATGTTACTAGAAAATGCTCTGTGATAAGGACAGCATTTTTAAAGCGGTTTGTTTTATAAGTTATACCAGCTGTATTGTGTGTTGTAGTTGATTTTTATTACATCAAAATCTGTAGAATTAAAAACAGTTCAATGAGAATGCAGTTATAAATTTCCTAACGGATGATTCTGCTATGTAGACTTTGGTTAGAAAATGAAAACAAGGAAATGTGGGTAAGGACTTGCAGACTTTATTTTACTGAACATGAGAAATGTTAGATATGTTTTACTGGATGTAATATAATACCTAAAGCAGAAATGGAAATAGAGAGATAGAGCCTCTGACATCAAAAAGTAATAAGGTTGGGTAAATTATTCCCGAATAATTTGTTCCCAAAATAGAGTTGAGTGAAATGTTACAAGTTTTTAAAGGAGGAGATATTAAAATGTATTACCTTTTTTTTAAATCCCAAAACTATAAAATCACCAACCTTCTCCAAGGGGCTACTTGAGGTACCTGAAATCAATACCACCACTGACTGATTGACTTCAGTTTCCTTTTAATAACTACTAAAATAAGGAGCTTGGCTATCATTGGGGTCTGAAACAAAAAATGCCCTTTGTACCACAGTTTTTGCTTCAAAATTTGAGGTGTCAGCCACAAACCACTCACCATGGCCCTTGCCCAGCCTGTGGTTGGCGGGCAGCTGGGCAGCAAGAAGCAGCTTTTGGATGTTTCAAGGTGCTTTCTGCTGTTGCCACTAGTTCTTAGAGCAACCATAGGATCCAAACCTGAAAGCATCTCTCCAGTCTATAATGGTGCCTTGCTTGGATCGGGAGCATGATTTTGAATCTGATGTCCTGATCTTCTCCACTTCTCCTCCTTCGGCGTCTAGCACGGCAGCTGTCGGGGTGTGTGGGTTCCTTGCAGAGGACGAGAAACTTGGGGATATGGAGGAGCACATCTCATGTACTTCCACACCTGCCCTCCACCCCTCCTTTCTTCTTGGGCTCAACTCCCGATTTCTCTACCTCCTTCCCTCCAAGTGGTGCAGGGGGACGAGGAATGGGGGTTGTGGTTCAGTTCATCACTCCTTGTCTCTGCTTCTCCTCAGGGGAGGGCTCCTCGCACTCTTTCCCTGCTCCAGCATGGGGTCCCTCCTGGGGGAGACATTCCTCCATGAACTTCTCCATTGTGAGTCCTTCCCACGGGCTGCAGTTCTTCATGAACTGTTCCAGCATGGGTCCCTTCCACAGGGTGCAGACCTTCAGGAACAGACTGCTCCAGTGTGGGTCCCATGCGGGGTCACAAGTCCTGCCAGGAGCCTGCTCCAGCACAGCCTCTCCACGGGGTCACAGCCTCCTTCAGGCACATTCACCTGCTCCAGCATAGGGTCCTCCATGGGCTGCAGGTGGATATCTGCTCTACCATTAACCTCCTTGGGCTGCAGAAGGACAGCCTGCCTCACCATGGTCTTCACCGTGAGCTGCAGGGCAATCTGTGCTCCAGCGCCTGGAGCACCCCGTCCCCCTCCTTCTTCAATGACCTACATATTTTACGTATCTTTTTACGTAAGATACGTATTTTACGTATTTATACGTATCTTTCTACGTATTTTTCCTCACACTCCTTTTCCTGGTTGCTTTCCTGCAGTCTTTTCCCTCCCTTCTTAAATATGTTAAAACCAGGGGAGGTTTAGATTGAAAATTAGGAAAAATTTCTTCACGGAAAGACTTATCCAACACTGGAATGGGCTGCCCAGGGAAGTGGTTGAGGCACCATCCCTGGAGGTGTTCAAAAGACAGATTGACATGGTCCTCAAGAATATGGTTTAGTGTGGTTTTTTGGGGTTTTTTATTGCTTATTTCTTATTTATTTTTTTGTCAGAGTTAGGTTGATGGTTGGACTAGATGATCTCTAAGGTCCCTTCCAACCTAGACAATTCTATGATTCTATGATTCGATTCTGTGTTATCACAGAGATACCACCACCATTGCTTACGGGCTAGGCCTTGGCCAGCAGCGGGTCCAACTTGGAGCCAGGTGGCATTGGCTCTGTTGGGCATAGGGGAAGCTTCTAGTAGCTTCTCACAGAAACCACCTGTGTAGCACCCCCCCTGCTACCAAAACCTGGCCACACAAAGCCAATACACCACCCCTTGGAGCTCTTCTGTCCATGGGACTGGACTACAGCTGGTCCTAAGTCCTCCAAATGTGCAGGTCCTCAGCAGCACCTGTTCTGCTACTCTGCCTACCAGTGTAGAAATAGCCTTCAGGTGTAATTTTCACATCTGGTTAAAGTTGTTTATACATGCAAGTGTCTTAAGGTGTCAAACCCTTTCTTACTCAGCGAACATCTAAATACTTAAGTGTAAGCCCCTACTTAAGTGGATGTGGTTTGGTTTGGAGCTAGACTTCTGGATATGCTTAAGACTTGGGGAGGTTAAAAGTCTCAGGGAGGTTCTTGGTGGGTTTTTCAAAAGGAATGTTGCTGCTCACACTGCATTAAAAATCTTTAAACATCCTTTAAAATGTGGTTCTTGGGTCCTGGAAGCTGGCTCTTGCACTACCCTGCAAGATGTAGGGTAGGTGATGTAGGAACCTAGGTGTCATAGGTTTTTGGGTAAGAGCGGGGCTCCTAACTCCTTTAGGAACAGGCCCTCAGAAATATTCAATCACCTGAACATTAGTTAAGTGCTTATTATATTCAGGAGCCTTTGAAAAATCCATTACCTGCATCTTCAGTTACAAGGAGACCTTTACAGCAAGCTTTTATGCTTCGTGACACTTCACAAGAGCCACCTATAAATACCTTAAACATCTACTACTGCTAAGGATACTCTGGTACCTCAGATACTTTTAAAACTTTTACCCTTATTAGTTTGCACAGTTGGGAGCTTATGTTAGAGTTATTGGAAGCACAGGACAATGTGGGAAGAAATCATTTGTGTGTTGAAGAACATTTGTGTGTTGAAGAACATGTGTGTGTTGAACATCAGCGTTACCTTTTAACATATTTTTCTGCTGTTTTTCAGGTAAAGGCGATGTGTTTGGTGATATCTTCTGGAAGGAAACCAGTCTGGCCCACGCGTGTGCCAATGTACGGGCTCTGACATACTGCGATTTACATATTATTAAACGAGAAGCCTTGCTTAAAGTGTTGGACTTCTATACTGCTTTTGCAAACTCGTTCTCGAGGAACCTTACGCTCACCTGCAATTTGAGGAAACGGGTAAGACCACAGCTTGTGTTTTCCCCTCTCTCTGCCCAAGGGACTGCACTCTCTTGCAGACTGTTTGCGGTGTTTAACAACCCCCAATTTGCTCTTGATGTTTTCAGGTCATTGCAGATTAACTGGCCTTTCAATAAGTGTTGTCGCTGGTCGTTAATGATGGCTCAATAAAAGTCACCCATAGATTTGCAGCTCTGAGAAGCAGTCCTAGCAGGGTGACATATGAATTACATTTCTTTTCCTTCTTTTCAGTTGCTGTTTTTTGGCTTTTTTTCCCTATTGCCTAATGTATAAAGTTATTTTACTGATATAATATCTGATTCTGAATTCCCCAGAGGTGAGGTTTTGTCTCTCACGTGCTAAGGTACAGGTCAGAGGACAGTCTAATGGATCTGCGTGGCATAGAGCAACCGAGAGAAATTTATTGATGTTAAATAAATAAAATGTACTCGGCCAAAGTATTGGATTAATACCCGCTTCTCTCACTTGCATAGTTTAGAATTTTAATATGGTGAGGTTAATAAAGCTTGGTAGCAGTTTTACATTCACAGCTCACTTCTTAAACCCTCCTGCTCATTTTATAATCAATCAGCAGTGCTCACTAGCCATTAGTCCTTTCAAAGAACACTCCATCTAAAAATTAATTAGCTATAAGGACATATCTCGAAAACTGTTTAAGGGATTCTTCAATTCGCATTGCGGCTGCAAAATTTAGTCTTTATGATGTTTTTTTTAAGATTGATGAGGGTTATATAAATTTCATTTGCATAGAGAAATCTCATAGCAATGATTTATAGATTATTGAGCATTAACTGTGATCCTCTGGCTGCCGAAACACATTTTTCTGCAATTGTACCTAGGGCATCTCACCTGCTAATGTACCGAGGCTGTGACAGTATTTCACAAGACAATTTCAGCCTCTACAGTAACAGGCTCGATTTTTACTTTTCTCAGTCTAGTTTCTCTCTAGCCACTCGAGCATCTTACAAATGTTTCTTTCAAATGAGTTAATTTTTAGTGCATTCCTTGTGATCGTTAATATACCAAGTACGGCACAGAATACCCATGGCAAAAGGCCGATGTGATGGCATTGCAGTCCCCCTCTGTCTGTGCTGGAGCCTGAAAGAGCTGAATTATAATCACGTTTGGTTCCAGCTTCTCAACTTACCTCTGATTTGAAGCTTGTTAACTTTGCTTCAGACCTGAAGAAGGGCTTCGGGGCTCGAAAGCTGGTTTGGGGTTTCTAGCTTATCCCTTCTCCGTTGATAAGATGTCCTCCAAGCCTTGACTTCAGCATCCCCCCCTTTGCCATCTTGCCTACATGCAACATAGAATCATAGCATCATTCAGGTTGGAAAAGACCCTTGGGATCATCGAGTCCAACCATCAACCCCACTCTAATAAGTTCTCCCCTACACCATATCCCCCAACCCCACATCTGAACCACTCTTCAACATATTCAGGGATGGGGACTCAACCCCCTCCCTGGGCAGCCTATTCCAGGGCCTGACCACTCTTTCTGGGAAGAATTCTTTCCTAATGGCCAGTCCCGTGATGACAATTGTGCTCAGGCATTGCTGACGGTGATTTAATGGGACAAGATAATCCCACGTACGTTGTGCCAAATTATATTCTTTCCCTCTCAAAACTCTAAACCTGTCACTTCAGCTAACTTCCTGGGACTCACTTTCCCCCATCAGTTGTGACCAGGTTGTGTACAGCAAAATGAAGTACAGGTATTTTTTTTCTGACAGGGCAATGTGTTGGAGTTCAACTCTGTGGTCCAGGGATGCATACGGGGAATAGGCTTGTGGCTGGGTTTTCATGGGTGTTTTCCTTTCCCACGCACCTTTTTTTCAGGAAAATTGGTTCCCCTGCAGGGCCCTACCACGAGGAGTTGCCCAGCTGGAAAATCTCATGGAGCTTAGGTCCCCAGTATGTCTGCTATATAGCTCAGCATTAAGGACGTGGACTTTGCCACAGGGGCAGTGACTCAAAGCAAGAAGGAGCGGCACTTCTAAAGGAATCACAGAATCTTCTAGGTTGGAAGGGACCTTAAAGATCATCTTGTCCAACCGTCAACCTAACTTTGACAAAAATAAACGCCCACACAACAAACAAAAAGCAACACCATCACTAAACCGTATCTCCCAGCACTACATCAACCCGTCTCTTGAACACCTCCAGGGATGGTGCCTCAACCACCTCCCTGGGCAGCCCATTCCAATGTCTGATAACCCTTTCGGTGAAAAATTTTTCCTAATATCCAGCCTGAACCTCCCCTGGTGTAACTTGAGGCCATTTCCTCTGGTCCTGTTGCTTGTGACTTGGGAGAAGAGACTGACTCCCACCTCTCTACACCCTCCTTTCAGGGAGTTGTAGAGAGCAATAAGGTCTCCCCTCAGCCTCCTCTTCTCCAGGCTGAATAACCCCAGCTCCCTCAGCCTCTCCTCACAAGACTTGTGCTCCAGACCCCTCACCATCTATGCTGCTCTTGGATCTTGCAAAAGGGAAGGAACTGTTGGTTGGGTGCACAAGTGGGCATTACGTGTGGGTGGGTGGAGAGTCAAAGGAAAATCATGTCAATGTGGTGCATGCAGGGTGGGGTTCCTTTCACCGAAAGCTCTGTGATGACATCCAAGGTCGACACCAGTCGCCTTTATAGCCCTGGAGGAATGGTTCCTCCCAAAGACAATCATCTGGCCCCTCTTCAGTGCCCAGTCTGGGATGGGAGCATCACCCCCTTTCTGTTGACTTTTGAGACAGTTCTTGATCACCAACTTTTAAATGCCTAGGATACATCAAGTGAACTCCACCTGATGTCTCCTTCAGTTTTAATCAAGGAAGAAACTTTTAGGAAAAGTCTTACTTTTAGTATTGCAGTAAGATGTGCTGAGCTGGAGCCTGCTTTGCAGAAATTCTGTGTATTGTTCCCAGGCACAAAATAGATCGTGCTACTTTCCACACCGGGGACGCAATCAAGTCCTGTTACATAAAGTTATATGGGGGATTGTTTCAAACCTTTTATCTGCTGAAGGTATACGTGATTCCCTGTTGGGCACCCAAGTGTTTGACGGTGAGTTCGTCTCTTAGGAGAAGCAGTGCCATCCAGGAGAATTTCATCAGGTGAACAGAAAGTGATCGTTCAGGCAGTGAGACCGGGCTGGCAGAGCTGCGCTGCACTGCAGCAGTTTGTGCAATCTTAAATGGAAACAAAATCATTGTCTCCTTTAATTGATTTCAATCGAAATATACCCAGCGCTTTTTCTACGCCGTCATGGCTTGTAAGTTCTGACATTTAATTACAACAAAAATACACTCCTTACAGTTCTGCGCTGGAGAAAATGGATGTTCTCACTGTCAAAAATAGACAGGCAGAATTGTTCTTTCATCAGGTCTGCCCTTCGAAATTCTTGTACTCGTACGTGGATGCACACACACACGTGTGTTTGTGCTGCACCGTCCCTCAACAAGCACTAAGATAGAGTCCATAGACTGCTAAACCATTGAGATGTTCAAAAGGCTAATAAATTAATAATAGTACTGAGTACAGAAGGTTAGTTCCACATGACAGGGAAGACAGAGTCACGCCGAAGTGGGAAAATAATGTTTTCTCACTCCCAAATAACATTTAGAGGCCTGGTATGTTGAGTGACCTACTTAAGGCATCTGCTCAGCATGCTATTATCAACTCTGGAGTTTTGTTTTTCTTTTATGTGTGTTAGGTAACTTAGCCATCATGCTGCATTTATGAGCCCGTGAAGTGGGCATGGCTGCTAGCTCTTCAACCTGCAGTCACCTCTCCTGCCCAGCGTGGCGAGGCAGCTTTTAATTTCTACTTGCAAATTACTGTAGCGTCTCATGCTTCGTGCTCTGAAGCCTTTATGGCACATCTAACATCACTAATGTCCACCCCAAGGCAGCACCAGGACTTTGAACTTTTTTTTTTCCAAACAGGGAAAAATAATTAATCTGGAAAGATATTCTGTAAAATCACAATGAGGTTACACAGTCACCTCTGAGGACTGAAAGTTATAACATGGTGTTTAGCATGAGTCTTCAAAGAGTTAATTACTGCCTTCTGTTGTTGGAAGAGAATATTAATAATGTCTAATTCATTAAGTGCCTCTCAAGACTTCACGCAGCCAGAGGAGGGGCACTCTGCATTTTAAGTCATGGAGCTTGGCCTGAGAGGGGGAGCCTGGACAGGTTTCTAGGAGGCTCAAAGCTCTATAAATGCATCTCCATTTTATTGATTGTTGAAATTCAGGAAGGAAGGCCCACATCAAGCTACCAAATGTGTTCCCGTAGAAAACAAGTGTTGAGATGAAATATTTTTAAAGCTTTTTTTTTTTTTTTTCTCCTTTGCTCATCATTGCTTCTATTTGCACCAGTTCAGTCACCATCTCCAGCTAACTGCTGGACCAACACAGTCTGTGCAAGTGCAAGAAAAAAATCAGATTGAATTTATGGCCCTCCTGAATAGTGCTGGAGCGTGTCCAGAGGAGAGCCACCAAGCTGATGAGGGGTCTGGAGAACAAGTCACACGAGGAGAGGCTGAGGGAACTGGGCATGTTGAGTTTGGAGAAGAGGAGGCTGAGGGGAGACCTCATTGTCCTCTACAACGCCCTGTAAGGAGAGTGGAGAGAGGTGGGTGTTGACCTCTTCTCCCAAGGGAGTAATGAGAGGAGCAGAGGAAATGGTCTGAAGTTGGGGCAGGGGAGGTTTAGATTAGATATTGGGAAGAATGACTTTCCTGAGAGGGTGGTCAGGCACTGGAACAGTCTGCCCAGGGAGGTGGTGGAGCCACCATCCCTGGAGGTATTTAAGAAGCGTGTAGACGTGGCACTTGAGGGCGTGCTCTAGTGCCCAAGATTGTTGAGTTGGATTTTTGTTGTGGTTTTTTGTGTATGGTTGGGCTCAGTGATCTCAGAGGTCCCTTCCAACCACAAAGATTCTGTATTTCTGCAATTCTGAAATCACAGCTAAAATTGTCCTGT